GGGACAGATATGATGTTATGTAATCTATCAAGTGTGGTGTGCTAGGAATGATATGAAGCATGGAAGGAATCACAGGTCTCCATCTATTATTGCAGCTACGGTGCTTTCTCTTTTTCCATGCCGTTTAGATCTCCAATCTTTAAGCAATGGAGCACTAACCAGCCCCTTAGGCTGCCTTTACACAAGCTTTTGTGCCCCCCTCCAGGTTGGTTGAAATTCAATGTGGACGTAGATCTTAAGCCATCTAATCAGGCTGGACTTGGGTTAGTTGTTCAGGATCCTGCTAGAACCTTGGTTCTTACGGCTGGCAAGTGTATGGAGCACTGGGATGTTTTTCAAGCTAAAGTTATGGCAGCTGCTGCCATCTGTGAGACAATTATGGATTGGATGCTTGAAATGGAGGGGATTATCATTGAGGGTGATTGCATTAATGCAATTAGGTGGCTTCTGAATATGAACAATCGCCAGAATAAGGTCCACTTCAAGGGTGAAGGACCTAACCTATCATTTTTGATGAATTTTTAGCAGGTTATATTCCAGTATATTTATAGGGGCAGAAATCGGCCTGCTGACTACTGCGCCAATTTAGCTTTGCTTGATAGTTTTCCTTTTATGATGTGAATAATAGTGCATTCCACTCAACTATTTTTTTATTGTTAAGGGAGGATAGTGATAGGCCATAATTCCATACTTGTGAGTTTACTTGTAACTAGTTTACTTCTTTATTAATACAAAATGCAGACATTTAAATCTCTCTCTCTCTGTCTCTCTTTCTCCCTCCATCTCTCCCTTTCTCCCTCCTTTCTCCCTCTTCCTCTTTCTCTCTCCTCTCTCTCTCTCTATCTCTCTCTCTTTCACTCTCCCTCCCTTTCTCTCTCTCTCTCTCTCTCACTCTCTTATTCATCTCTCTCTCATTCCTCTCTCTCTCTCTCTCAATATCTCTCTACCATCTTCTCTCCCCCTCAGTCTCTCCTTTCTTCCTATCCCTCTCTCTTTCTCTCTCTATCTCATTCTCTATCTGTCTCTCTCACTCACTCACTCCCTCTATCTCTCATATCTATCTCACTTCTTCTCTCTGTCCACTCTCTCTCTCTCTTTCTCTCTCTCTCTCTCTCCTCTCTCTCTCTCACTCTCTCTCTCTCTCTCTCTTTCTCCTCTCCCTGACTCTCTCTGCTCGAAAAATTCGTTCGACACTGATCGGAGGGGTTTCTCTCTTGGATCGGAGATCTCGTCGCCGT